ACTAGTCAGGGGGATCACTTCTTAAATTATACAAATGTCTAACCACTATGTTGTACACCTGACATTAATACAAAGTAATAGTGAATGTTAACTGTAATTGAAAAATTAAAAAAAGGGGGGGAAAGTGAAGGGGAATAGTAGGTCCAAATTTCCAGGTATAAAACAAATAAGTCATGGGGAGGTGATGTACAGCATGGGGAACATAGTCAATAATATTGTGATAACATAGTACTGGGTCAGATGGTTGCTAGACTTATGGTGATCATTTCTTTAGGTCTATAAGTGTTGAACAACTACAGTATATACCTGAAACTGATATAATATTGTATGTTAGCTCTATTTTTAAATAAAAATCTTAAAAAAAATAAAACGTATGGATTGTTTATTTCTGGAATTTTCCATATAATAGTTTTGGACCACAGTTGACTGGGGGTAACTAAAACCTCGGAAATGAAAACTGCAGATAAGCGGGGGGGGGGGGGGGTGTCAGGGACGGGGCTGCTGTATGTGTTTGCACTGGTAACCAATTCACAGACGATGTTGATGCTGATGGTCCAGGGATCCCCGCTTTGGGAACTCCTGGTGAAGGTATTGCAAGAGGAAGGGGTGCTGGGGGAATGATTAGGCAGCTATTTCAAAGTGATGGGAGGTGTGGCCAAGAAGATACCGCCATTTTGCCAAGTCCAATGGGCCATTGTCTGCGTTGCCTGCTGCACCTCTTGCCACCTTTGACACCTCTGATGGGAGGGCTTTGGTTCCACCTTTTTCTCCGAGCTTCCCTCCAGACTTCGGACGACATCTTTTCCTTTGTGCCTCTTCCAGCATGCCCTGGGCTCCGACCTGAATTCCATTTTTCCTGGGGAAAAGGTTCGGGGTTTTCAGCAGCTCCCACACCTTCCTCTCCCTCCTGCTACACAGCAAACGCGAAGTGTTTATAAACTAACTTAGAGTCTAATTGCTGATTTGTTGTTGTTGTTGTTGTTGTTGTTGTTGTTCTCCAATAGTCCTAGGGCTAGGGCCTCATCTGTCTCCTTTGTCTTCGCATCTCTTCCCTCCCAGAGCACAGTGTGGGCACACAGTAGGTGCTCAATAAATATTTACAAACAAATGAGTAATTCCTGCCTTCCCCATTTTGCCAGCTCTGTAAATGCAGGAAGGTGACTTAAGCTCTCCAAGTTTCAATCTCTGTGTGTGTACGATGGGATTTGAGAGTTGCTCTGGGGTGAAATAAGGTAATGCATGTAAAGTGTTTCGTACATAGTAAACATTAACTACCATTACTGTTGTTTTGTGTTGCTGGTACTTGTGTGACTTTGGGAGAGCTATTGAACTTGTCTAAACTTCAGTATTGTCACATTCAATAATCACTCTCCCTCTGGGCTGCGGTGAGGGTGAGGCAGATAGTAGGTGTGTAATAAAGGTTCATTGTTTGCCCCCAAACTCTCCCCTTCCCTACCCCTTAGAGACCCCTGACTGCACTGGAGTGTTTTATCCCTTAATGGGCTGACTGGGTGACAATGGGATTAAAGTGTTGGGGATTGTGACTGAGCTCCTGGGCATTGTTCAAAAACAAAGGACATTCCTTTTACCCTGGGAAGATCTACATGCCGTTAACACTCCTTCCTTTCAACTGTGGCTTCCTAAAGGGCTCAGTGTCCACTAATATTGAAAGAAATAAAATTAAAAACAAGATGCAACATCAACTCAAGAGTCCTTTAGGGTCACCTGAAACCAGTTTGCAAACCAAAAGTTCTTGAGTGTTTCTTCTAAATTTGGAATTAGTCTGAATTCTCCCCTTGAAAAATCTAGAATAGAGAAAGATCATTACCTTAGCTCTAGTGGTGAGTGGTAGCGTCTTTTTAGTGTTTTGGTTGTTGTTTGTTTTGAGTCCCTGTTCTCGTTCTATTTGCTTGTTTCCACCTTCCTGCTTTGAAATGGCCTGTAATAGTTTGTAACCTCAAAGGAGGAAACTTTTGTAAAAACTACCAGTGCATTTATAGTGTTGGGGGCGGGGAGACACTCTTCAGCATTTTCTACCCTAAGCGTTATTAATGTTGGGAAGACATGTTTCAGGAGCGCTTAGAGCAGCGGTTCTCAACCTTCCTAATGCCGTGACCCCTTAATACAGTTCCTCATGTTGTGATGACCCCCAACCATCAAATTATTTTCGTTGCTACTCTATAACTGTAATTTTGCTACTGTTATGAATCGTAATGTAAATATCTTTTTGTTTTCTGATGGTCTTAGGCGACCNTTCGTTGCTACTCTATAACTGTAATTTTGCTACTGTTATGAATCGTAATGTAAATATCTTTTTGTTTTCTGATGGTCTTAGGCGACCCCTGTGAAAGGTTCGTTCGACCCCCAAAGGGGTCGTGACCCACAGGTTGAGAACTGCTGGCTTAGAGTGTATACTAAAAAAATTATTTTTCACTGAGCCAATCATAGGCTATTGCAAGCACAGCACAGAAAACCCTTGAATGCAACTTTTGGTCCTCTTTCCCAAACTTTGCGCCGGAGTTTGTCATAAAGACCAACAAAGAACTCTTATTATATATATCCCAGCTGTGAGTAACCAAAGTACAAGGCCTGGGCTGTGAAAACTTTGTTCATTCGAAAATTTCATTGTTTTTATAATGTGGCTGTCCTTTGTTGCTTCCAAATGGAAGCATAAAATAACACTTTCTTCCTCTTGATTCATTCCATTCCTAAATAAAAGGACGCCTGGAATCCCCTGGGGGTCATTAATTCCTACAGTGTCCTAGGTAAAAGGCAGAGTCAGTATTACCACTCCTTCCTGTGTATTCCAACCAAATCGCCAGCTCCTTCCCTCAACCCCCAGTTCTTCGTTATTTTTATCTAAGACACAGATTGCACAATGGCACAGACCCGGGGGACTCTCTGGATTGGCTCTGAGGGCCAATATGTGTCAAAGTCAAGATCGGCCCGCCTTTCTGGAAAGAAGTTGGCATCTGTGTCATTTTCCAACTGTTCCCTGGCTTCCTAAACCTAAGATGGGGGCTGACGAGGTTTCTGGAATGGTTTTTCCCTTTCTGTCCCCACTGCCAAGCTCTGAATCCCTCAAGTGACCTCCTGATAGTTTGGAATGGCGAGTTGCTTTCCTGGCGAGGAACACTCTCATATGCTGTGGGCTTCCCTGGATTTAGTGATTCAAAGTAACACCTTCCCCGTTCCCAAGTGAGTCACTCCAAGGGCTGCCCTCCAGCCACAAAGGGGCAAAGAGTGAACAGCTTGTCTCCTGGCTTTACTGTAACACTTTGGACTACTCAACTTCTGTGGATTGTATCTCCTTTTGAATTTAGGATATAGGGTGTGACAGCTTGAAGCTGCTAGGGTGTGACTTAGAACCCAAAATGAAGGATGAAGAAAAAGATGTTAAGGGCTTGTTTACATTATTCTAGGGGTCAGAGCCAAAGACAGTAATTGTTTATTGATTTATGGGTAGCGGTGATGGTGTTGGCAGATTAAAATCCCAAAGAGCACAGGGATCTGAAGCTGTCCTGTGAGGCTGAGACAATGAAATAATTAGAACAGCCCTAGTCGCTTCCATTTACCTATGTGGTCAACGTTCAAATTTCTGGTTCGGGCTGTGGGCTTTTAAAGGCTTATAATTAATAATATCTACATTCAAAAATGCCTTTTCATGTTCCAAGGATGAGCATGTGTCATGAGTGTCCATGCGTGAAAGGGGTTAGGAGTTTGTAGTTTCCAAAATAATGACTCACATGACAAAGAGTAATTATACTTTATTTTATGGCCTGAACAGTAGCAATTCCACACTGGCTGCTTTCCCAGCGTAACTGGTGAAACCCACTTAACAAATGGCTAAGGTAGGAAGGAAAGAGCTCTGGGTTTCACAAGGTGAATGGAAACATTAAACAATGATCAACAAAATAAAGACACAAAAGGGGGACCTGATGTGAGATGGGACTGACATGTTGAAACTTGAGGCACGGAATCCACCAGATGGGTGACTCCTGTTTCTGTGAGCGGTCGTTTATTTCTACTGGCCTCTTTGAGAGGTGGTCTAGCACAGTTTAAGAGTGGACAGCCTGGGTTTGAATCCTGGCTCTACTCTTCATTTGGTCCTTAGGCACATGGCTGTGAGGGTGTGTGTCTTTCTGTTCCTGTTCCTTCTATTATGGGGAAATCCACAGTACCCTCTTCAAAGGGCTGCTGTGGAGTTGTAAGGAAAATGCTTAGAAGAACGCCTGGCACATATGTAGTGTATGGTTATTACTTGTTGGTCCATTAGGCCCCAAACCAAAAGCATTCTTGATCTCAGCACTTTAGACAGTGTAGGATGAGCTAAGGTGTGATAGTGAAGCATTTAGTGTTTTTCAACCAAGGCGGGACTTGGATGCTGTCCTTTATGATCTGTGTGGCCAGAGAAGTTACATAACCTCTCTGAACTTCCCCATGTCCTTGTGTGTATAACAGGGATAATGCCATGCCTCCCAGAGTTCCTTTGGAGCTTGCAGGTCTGACATAAGTTGGTTCCTACTCTTCCCCCATCCACTCTTTTACTGGGCAGAACTCCTGGGTTTGAATGGAACAGGAATAGCAGGGGTTAACTAAACTGAAGGGGGTTTCTTCTTCATCTTCCTCCCAACCCCCAGTCCTTACCCCCCTCCCTTTTGTATACTTAAATGTTATCTTTAACCTCTAGCATCCCTTTGCCAATCCTTAACCCACTCACCAGCCACCAGCTTACTACCCTTTCATTCTTTTAACTATCAACTCTGGCCCTTATCACGTCTCCAGGAAGCACCTTATAACCCTGGTAATCTAAAGACCGTAAGGCCCCAAGACCCATTTTAACAAAGCCCTTGCCTTCTCCTAAATAACTTCCTTTCCCATCTCTGTAACCTCACTCCCTTAAAGGCCAAATTCTTGTTAATTTGTAACTGATGAAAAAGAGAATGAAAAAAGAAGAAACAAAACTCACAACTTCAGATTTGGTTCAATTATATATTTGTAATTTTATTTTTTTTACAAACAATAAAAAAAATCAACTTTAAAAAGGAAAATTTAAATAAAAAAAATTATGGTTTATAATACAGAACTTTTGATTTCGCATAATTGCTATAAATGTTTTATTAAATTTATTTACATTTAATGGTAATATTTTTAAAAAAAGTTCTTAAATACAAATCTTTTAAAGAGGAAAAGAAAACAATGGTAAGCATAAAAAAAGTTCTTTTATGCCAAGTTATTCTTTTGAGGCAGTTTATGTTATGGCTAAGTCTTTAAGTCCTCAGACTCAGCCAAGGTTGTGTGAGACTGCACTTTACATGCATTTGGAAAAAGAAATACATAATGAGTTGTTGTAAGTTCTATCAGAAGGAACCTTTTTCCTTACTTTCTCTTAGTAACAAATGAGAGTTCATGAAAGATTCCAGTTCCTCCCTCCAATAGGACAACTTTTATGCACACAAGTTCCGTAGCTGTTCGAGTTTGTGTTTCAACTGTTCTCGTCGCTTCCGCAATAAGTCCTTTTCTGAAATAAGCTTTTGCTCCTCTGCTTGGATGGCCAGGATGTATGCAGTGGCTTTTTTAAGGATAACTACCTTGGGGGCCTTTTCATTGTTTTCCAACTCTGGGATCTGGTCACGCAGGGCAAAAAAGCTGCGTTTCAGCTCATTTCTCCTCTGGCGTTCCAAGACGTTGTGTGTCCGCCTCTTGTCATTCTCCTCCGTGTCAGAGGACCTGGGGCTGGCACATTTGCGGTTGTTGCTGATCTGTTTCAGGACTCGGCCACTGTCCAACTTGGCCCTCTTGGTGGGGGGATAGTCCTTCCTAGTGGAGGGGGGCGCTGCGTAATTGTGCTGATGGGTGGACACATGGCATCTCTTAAGGACCAGTGGGCTGTGAGGAGGTTTGCTGTGACTTCCGCCAGAGGGGGACCCCGATTCTGACCTTTTGGCAGGGGGCTGCCTCTTTTCCACAGACACAACATCAATTTCTTCTTCATCCTCTTGTTCTTCCTCTTTAAGAAAAGAAACATCAATCACCCTGGTTAGCAACATTTCCTTCAAGCACTCAATGAATAGATTAAACTAATACTATGCAAATATAAGGCATTATGGGAAGAAGGACCCAGGCACAAAGTTATTCCCAGAGAACCAACTAGCCAATCATTCTTGCTCTTCTCCCCAGGAAGGCAAGTCTCACAGAGAGGAGAATGACAGCGAGGTTTATGGCACAGGCAAGAAAATTACAATTTACCAGGATCCAACATTGATGCCAATTCTTACCTAAGACTTAATGAGGCTTTGGACACACCCAAAGCAAAGTACATTCCCAAACACCTCCTATTTTTAAGGGACTTTACCAAGGATCCTTCAGGTGTTGCAAAGGATAGCTGCAAATCACTCAGTGCACCTTTAGCAACTCCTTGTTTTACTGGAAGTGTGGAAAAGAAAAGAAAAAAAAATCTTGCAACTTGGCCAAAAAGTCCTAGGGGGTGGGGGAAAGGGAAGAAAAAAGTCCAATTTTGGAATGGATTTACTTTGAAGTGTTCAAAAGAGGCTGAAAAGATCCCAACTCCTCAGCCTATTCACTCTCAGGCACTTTCACTAGCTAACAGCCCCGGGCGGGAGGCTGCCCTGCCTGGCCACTGCCCCTCTTCATTTTCCTAGATCTGCAGTCCATTAAATTCCAACATTTCTCCGAAGGGTAGAGGGAGGAAATTCATTCACTCTCAAAGAGACCAATCCTTTCTAAATCTCATTCACACTCTCCCGCTCCCCCTCCCCCCCCCCACAGACCCTGATGAGAAGCTAAAGAAAGAGCTCCTATTTACAGCCGCTCAATCCAGCCTAATCTCCTCTGCCCCT